AAGATAAGCTCAATTCAAATCAGAAAAGGTTCATTTTTTATAAGCCAACGTTGTATCGAAAAAGAAGTGTTTTCCAAAGATATCGGAGGTTTAAAACAAGACAACTTGGTAACTGTTAATAATTTTTTTCTACAAAATTTATGAGAGTTCAATTTAAACAAACTGTGTAATCAGAGGGTGCATTTTTTGTTCTTTCTAACTGAATTTTTTTTTTTTTCTTTTTAATACTTTCTTGGGCTGGGGGAGTGGGAGTTGGTAGAGGCATAATCCCAATATTACGTCACTCGATATCTAGTGGCTATCATGCGATTTTTCTTTACATCCGTCGGTAAGTGCACCACCCTCAAAATGTTATTGAATCTGTAAAGTTACATAAGTATATTTAGGCTGCGTATACACACTGCGGAAATTCACGCGACGGAACTCTGGCGTCGGTACATCAGAGCAAATCCCTTACCAACGATTATTTTTCCGCACTGCAACAAATTTTCTGGTACCCTTGGGGTAATTTCTGTTACGGAATTGATCACTTACGTAATCTATAAATATTGAACTCGTGTGTTTTTGATACTTAATTGTTTATAACTATCACACAACCAGTGACTCGACTCAATTTTAACAAAATTTCTCAGATTGTATGCATCAAAAAGTCTGTGGAAATGTGTGAATGCATTGGTCTCTAGAACATTTTGATTTGTTTTAGTATGCACGATTGCAATACCGTTTTCTTATTCATTTTAGCTTTTTCAGTTGTACAGTTGCACGATACAGATATGCAAAATATATGCAGACGACGATATGTCTGCACAAAATTCCGAAGTCAAGGAACCCCTCGTTTACATGGAACGGAAAATTCCGCGACGGAAACTTCATGATCCAATCAGCGTGGAGCTTTAGAAGAATCTATCGGAAAAGCGGTGCTCTGATTGGTGTACAAAGTTTCCGTCGCGGAATTTTCCGCTCCATGTAAACGAGGGGTCCTTCACCGTGCGGAAGCGGAACAAAAATAATCGTCGGTAAGAGTAGATTTGCTCTAATGTACCGACTCCAGACTTCCGTCACGTAAATTTCCGCAGCGTGTTTACGCAGCCTTAACAAAAAATCGTAAATGTCGTTTGCTGTATTGAGCCCCGTTCACAGTGAGCGCAGTAACCGACAGCAAAAATCGGCAAAGGTTAGAGAAAGGTATAGGCAATCAGCACGACATGGCTGTTGCTGACGTTTTCTGGCTTTTGGTTCATGTTGCTAGCTGTACCTCTCTTGTACATACGTATACGGAATAGTATCAACAAGGGATAACGTTTGCTAGGAGCATGAACCATTAGTCAGGAAAATTCAGTGACAGCCAGTTTCTTTTCTGAAACATTTCTGAAAAAAAATTTTTCAATCAATCAGATGGCTGCTTTATCCTTCTGTCGGTCCTTTAATTGGTCAGAACTTTCTCACAAAACATCTTTTACGTTAGTAAGAAGGCTGATAAAGTTAGTGAATTAGGCCCCTGATAAATCACTTTGGACCCTAGGGTGAAAATAACATTGGGCTCAGAGAGCCCTTTTTTAGTTTTCATTTGATAGGTGCATAGTACATGCTCACTACTCGAAGGTCATGGCTGATTTACGTTTGCGTTCCAGTTGTGAACAACGTTTTTTTCCAAGGGTGCAACGAACTTGATACTTTTTGCACCCATGGCAAAAAATAGTAGTTTTCGTCACAAAAGCACCATAGCCCTTCACAGGAACCTCAGGTCACAGATTACAGCCCCACTTAACCTTGACCTTGGTACGGCTATAAATAAATTTTTAAAAGGAATCCCATTAGGTAAAGATAACATTATGACAGGTCTGACTAACGTTGTGCATGGTTTTAAATACAGTAAGTGCTCATCAGTACACACGCTAAACAAAGATACCCATGAATAAACAAACCAATGATACAAAAACAGGGAGACAAAGAGTCATGTAGGTAAGTATGACTGTGATTATGGTATTGAATTTGAATTGCATTTTTAATTTTAATAATCTTATTATTACAGATGTAAAAAGTATTTATTACAAAAGAATAGCTCCTAAGACAGTTTTTATTGATTCAGTCAACTGTACTTTAAGCAGATAGTAAGATATCTGGCTCAGCTTTCTTTACAAACCTCTTATTCAAGGTGGCTTGGGCGGTTGGTACCATACCTAGGGTGGGGTGCCATAAGGGCCCCTAAAAAATCAACGCTTTTCGACGGTAAATTTTTCAATAAATATAGTTATTTCGATAAAACCAAAGTACAAGATCAAGAAATTGCCAGAAAAGTACCGTGAAATGATAACTGTTAAAATTGGGAGATGTTGCGAGGCAAGCCAGATTAATATTTGATCTTTTTCTTCTGATTTTTTTTTAGGTTAAGCCCTTGACCCTATTTTTTTAAGAATTTAATAGATTCTTTGTAAAAAAAATACACAAGAACTATTTTAAACTTTTGAAGTTAATCAAAGATTTTCGAAGATAGAGTCGATTTTGTGACCACTGTCCATAAGAGTAGGTGTTAAATTGGTGAATTTTCAGTAGCGATTTGCAAAAAAATGAGGTCGTTGACCCCAGTATTTTCTGATCGCAAATGAATTTGGCATACTTTATTTACATAATTCCAGAATTTCAGAGGTTTCGATCAAGCCGATAAAAATCACCCAAGCCACCTTAAGCTGTAGAATTCTATAACTCTTAACAGTTGTTATTATTATCATTTTTTTCAAAAATTCTGTACTATTCTATCTTTTCAGTTAAAAACAAGTACATCTATATCTTTAGTAATAATGACTACTGGGAGCAAATAAATTGTTAAGCATGGCCACGTTTGCCTGCAAATACTGTATCATGTAAAAAAACTGCACTTTTACTTGTCATCATACATTGTTTATTAAATTAGCAATAAAATTTACAAATAATTTTTATTTTAACATTTAAAACAATCAAAACATTTAATTTTATTTTTCAGAATCTCTACTATAATAATTATGAATGTTGTTGGTAATATTCCCGTGGAAAATATAATTTATAATAGATAACGCTTCCTTTTAAAATTTTGAAAATTTTCCTCCTTATTTTTGGACTCATCGGACAAAACCGATGGCTCCATATTAAGTCTAGTTTATGGAATAATAACAGATTGATTTGTAATCGCTCACTTCACTGAGACTAAAAAGGGACAATAAGTAAACATGAACTGGATACTTGGTTAGAAAAAAAGTGATAACTAGTAAAATAAAGCTAATGTACTTGGTAAAAACTGAATGTCTGATAAGCGAGTGAGGAAATGTGAACGTGTATGGGTGTGTATAAAAAGACTATATTTATACTTTTTCTACCTCAGGCTTTTTAAAAAGCTAGTGTGTCTTCGGTAGGAAATAGTAGTTTTCGTCGGATTAGTGCCATCGTCTCTGGGCCATTTTGCGGTCCGACGGACCTGCTTCCTATGGACTACAAAATAGCCCCAGAGACGATGGCATTTATCTGACGGAAACTATCATTTTTTTACCATAGACACAAAGTGCAACTGCCGCTTTGCGCGTTCGTAATCGCTTTCGGCTCACGGGCCGAAAAGTTTTTTGCACCCCCTCCAGGCGCATAGTACTTTTCTAAATGATTTACTAGCTGACGGGGATAGGCATCAATGGTACATTACGTCACCAAGGCACAAAGTACAAACACTAGCGCCTGAAGGGCGAGAGGTTTACTGTAACGAGATTCGTAAAAAAGCCTTTTTGAATGAGTTTTGTAAACTATTTTTCCGCCTGAGAACACAAAATTAAGCGGCGAAGGTGCTATTTTAAGGTTAGAAGGCGGAAAAAAAATATATGCTCTACGCTTGGCCATAATTTTAAGGTCAATGACATTAATGTCCGGAGAATATAACTAACTAAAAAAAAAGTGAAATTCAGCTGGTTTTACTAAAAATATGCGCTTAATCGTGCTGGTTAGATATATTCAGCAACTTATCTATGATTTGATTACACTAAGGTAAACTGCAATGGAACAAAAATGTTATTAGTAGTAGTAATTTGTCCTTCAGGATGTAAGAGCTGACTATTGTCATCAGAGCGCAAAACAAATGACCCATGTGATGTTGACACACATGACTCACTCCGATCGACTGTTGTGAAGAGGGAAGAGGTGGCTGAAAGAACATATGTATAAAGTAACTTGGCGCGGTCAGCGTGCAAGATGAGAGGTATGCATAAGCACGTCACGAGAATTCTCAGATTCGTCGTATCTTATGTCATCGCTCTTCTGGTTTTGCACCGTACCTACACCCACGCACACAAGAGCAGTCAGCGTGTCGTGCTTCGCGTCTTGCATGAGCCCGCTCAGGTGTAAACCGGCTCCTGTGAGATTTGTGAGCCATAGCTGGTCCCACCAGCGCTCTGACCGCACCTTCCGGGCTGGAACTCCACTTGCCCCCTTGGGAGGCTGAACTCTGTAGCAGTGTAGCAGTCAAACAGCAATATCGGTGGTAGCAGTCAGAGTGAGAGAAGAGCGAGAAATAGAAAGGAAAAGAGAGAGAGAGAGAAAGTAAAAAAGGGACGCGCAGGCTCCAACGATCCGTCACCGTAGCAACCCTCGGGCGTACAGGGTGCCACCTCTCTAACCAATAAGGCAACTTTGGGGATGCTGCTTGTATTTGTGGGCGGGGCGCGTTTGTCCGTAGGGGCTGTGATAAGGTGGGATCGCTGGACCAGCATAGCTGACGGCTGTTGAGTGGCCGTGCAATGCTGTACCGTGGGACTCCCACGTGCCAGTTTACTAGTGTCGCTGAACGTGAGTGCGCGAGTGAACTCAAGCCCGTTGCAGTCGTCTGCTACGTCCGAGCATGCGACCCAGGCACAGCGTAAAGTGCACGCCGTGGTCGGGTCTAAAGACCGGCCAGGGGTACTACATAGAGCTTTAGCCTGTGAAAAACTAATGATAGTAGAAACAAAAGCAGCAGCAGCAATTACGACTCCCTGCTAAAAGCCGCAATGGACCTCAGCACAGCCTACCGCTACAACCAGAATATGATGGAGTATTACACGTGTAAGGCATCCTGGATGAGTTTGTGCATTAAAATCTTAATTCATGCAACTATGTAGAGAATTTGAATCTTAGGGACTGAGAGTCATGAAAAAGAGGCAAGTATTTAGTATCCGTAGTGAGTCTTTTTCATCACTAGAGAAAAATCGATTCCTGTGTGCAGCTGAGCCATGTCAACGATTCTATTTCTGCTTTTTGCACTAGCGAGGGATTATCCACCAAGCGGTCTTCAACAGCAACACTTTTGTTTTCTTATCTAAAAAATTTAAGAACCATAACCCATTTGATTAGCTTTCAGGTATAACTAATGCTTTATTTTTTCATAAAGTGGCCCACACAGTTTGATAACAAATGAATAGTTTTTCGAAGAATAACGTATTAGAAAAAAGGTTTTGAAGTTGCGTAATTAAACTGTATTTTTAAAAATGTGGTTGGATTTAACAAAAAAAAAAAAATTTTTCCTGTAACTACCATGCAAAAATCATAAAGTATAGCAAGGTATAGTTACGAGTCATGCATCGATCGAACTTCTCTAGACAACTAATAATCAGCTTATGCTGATGTTATGAAGACATGACGTCTTAGGTTGTGTTTAGACGGAGCAGTTCCAGGCATGTGGCACTAGTTTCTACTTACTAGAGCATGTAAAAGATCTTTTTTGTGAAAAATTCTCTCAATCTCGTTCATTGAAACGAATGCCAAGTGTATGATGCTGCATTCAAGTGTAGCCTTACCAATGTGTTTAAAGATGGAATCTTACTATAGTGATGAGTTGATTGAAATTTTATGAAAAAAATTCAATGAAAATCTAGCCAAGTAGATGTTACAATCTTAAGTTCAGCCCTTTTCATCACTTCTTTCTGAATTTGTATGAAATTTACATCATTTTCGAAACGGTTGTATCTTTTTTTGTAGACACGTCATTGCTTGTGACGTAAAAATGATTCCTCTTGGTACCAGATTGATTCTTTTTACATTAGCTTAGTCACTTTTACTATTATTCTACATACAGTTAATTAAATCTCGTAAAAATCATCATAGATGCAACAGACATGTTAAATTGTTTAGTAATTATTGCAATTAAATTTCCTTTGTTAGATTTTGCTATCTTTTTATTTTTCACTACTTATTTGTTCACACACATTGGCCTAAATAGTAACTCTACTTAACTGTAAATTATCTATAAGGATAAAACTATGAATAGACGAAGAAAGCGGGTAGTCGCTTGTGTGCCGGCGCATGAAACGAGAGGGGCAAGGTGCGTGAATGTCGAGGTTACCCTAATACTTTCAAGTTTTAAATAGTCTCAAACAAATACTTATGCAGTAGTACGGCGTAGTTACACGCAATTTTCTAAACATTAACAGTTTTTTAAAGAAATTAAAGGTATTTATTTTGTAATCACATAGTGTGTATTAACTTTGTAAGTACATTCAGTTAAAAATGAATATACATATTATATCGTGGATAATTTTCTGTTAATTTTAGCCTACTAAAGTTTTTATTCCGCCAAAAATATTGGTGTTTTGTTTTAAAATTTTTACATAAGTGTAACTTAAATTTGAAAAAATGTGCTAGGATAAAGTGGGTAGGGCAAATCGGGTTACTGAGCAGGTACCTGATTAACTTTGATATCATTTTTTACTTATTTTTAAAAAATTTTTTCGATGATTAGTAAATATAAGTAGAAAACGGAGCAATTTATGTCACGAGTAGGACGTTTGCTTTAAAATTTCCTAAAATGTTGTTTACTACTCTAAAAAAAAAAGAAACCATAATTTTTACCGTGATTGTCATTACAAAAATTACTGTGCAGATGGTAATCGTGGGACAAATCGTCTATATTTGGAGATAAAATCATGAAATGATTTTTAAAAAATTACACACGTTCCTCATAGTGTCCATGTAATAACAGTATCCATCCGATGACCTGAAACATTATCATTAAGGCAAAAATAATTCTAACCTAAAACGTGCATCATGCACACTCAGTCAAAGAAAGTCTGTTATGAATTTACGAAATTAACATTTTTCTTCACAGAACATTGTTCAATCAGGTTTCAAGGAAATGCGTATGAATTGTCAGGTTATAATATTAAACGAAAAACATTTGGGGAGCTATTTTGCTTAAGACGTGAATAACGGATTCAGTGTATTTTACTAAATAAATTCCCAAATTTTTTTCGTTTAATATTATAACCTGACAATTCATACGCATATCCTTGAAACCTGATTGAACAATGTTCTGTGAAGAAAAATATAAATTTCGTAAATTCATAACAGACTTTTTTTAACAGAATGTACATGTTGGATACGTTTACGTAAGAATTATTTGTGCATTAATGATGATGTTTCAGATTATCGGATGAATACTGTTGTTACATGAACACTATGAGGAACGTGTGTTTTCTTTTTTCAAATCATTTCATGATTTTATCTCTGAGTACGGACGAGTTAAACATATGATGCCACAGTGCAATAACCTATCTATATATGTGAGCAGTGGGGGAAATTTTGTTGAGCACCCGACGATTTTTACTGTTTATCACCAACAAAACTGACTAAGTTAGGGTAAAAAGTCCAAGATGTCGCTTTGTCCCACGATTACCGTCTGCACGGTAATTTTTGTAACGACAATCACGGTAAAAATTATGGTTTATTTCTCTTAGAGTACACTGAAAAAAGTGGTCTTAGAAAATGTATTATAAATGTAATAAAAATCACTATATTTTTTAAGAAAGCTTAGACGTACTCGCCATATAAAAATTACTATGCTACATAGTAATATAGCATACCCCTTAAAAAAACCTTTTGACAAAACTAAAAAGTTAGGTAAGTTAAGTTTAATATTGAATTGATGTTCTGTAAGGAATTTCTGTAGCTTTTAAGGTAGCTTCCTTGTTTACTGCTCTAGTCAAGTAGCAGAGTTTCACTTGTGTATGTATACGTATATACGTACATCAGTGTTGGTGTTCTGCTACCGTCTGTCATTTATAGCCATGAAGCTGATTTTCACGTATTTCTTGGTAAATATCTTTGAAAAATGCCCCATTACCGGCATTTTACATAACAGGATTGAGAAGAAGAGAGATTTTTCTACAAGTACATCATAATTTGTCTGCTCAGGTTTTTTATCGTGAGTTGTAAAATGCCTGTAAATCTGGTATTTTTAAGCTCTGCCATATAAGCTTGTGTGAAAGGTGCAACTTTGAGCTGAAATATCTTGAGATTTTGCTTCACTTGGGGTATACTTAAACAAGGACACCGTTGAATTCCGTGGATCAAAATCTATTAAATAAAACATATTTCATTCCGTAGGTTTTCGCAAGGGAGCTACCTTAAACACTGGCAATAACTAGTATTCTTCCTAATGAATCAGTGGCTTTGAAAAGTTCTGAACTCAAAGTATAAAAACGGTAAAGTCTTTTTGTTAGCACAACATACGTTTTATATGACACTTGTAGTATAGTACTATTTAGTACTCGTACTTTTACAAAGTTAAACGAAGTAGTATTGACTTTTGTCCTAACATTTTCATATATTTTGACATAGTAAGGCATTAACGTATTTAATGAGAGGTTTGCATGAATTACCAGTCAAAAGTCAATATTACTTCGTTCGATTTTGTTACAGTACGAGTACTAAACAGTTGTCATACAAAATGTACGTTGTAGCAAAAAAATGAAAACGACCATATTTATATTTTGGCTACTTTTCAAGTCTACAGGTTATTTAGGAAAAATAATATTCATTAACAGTGTATAAAGGCTTCAGAAATTCCTTACAAAATATTAACGCAACACATTAAATTTACCTAATCTTTTAGTTTTGTTTTGCCAAATGCGGGCTTGATTAATTATGAGAAACGGTAATGTTAAGCGACAATACATTTTTGTTCAATAAAACAGTTATTATTTATTTAGATACCAAAATTATGGTGTTCACGTTTAAGGCGCACGATATTGAGGGTTAGGATAATAGGGTTTGACCTACTCGAGATATTCAAAATTTCATGTAAATTGAAAATTTTCCACCGAGTAAGTATACTACACATTAGCTATGCCACGTCTTGTCTGTCTTTGTTTAATAAATTTGGGTACATACATGCATATATAACGTAGATTCGCCATACTTCATAGTTTGTGTTATTGATTATTTATGGAATGATTTTACTATCAAAGAGTCATTTACCTCCCCCCTTTTCTGAGGTCTGGTTATTCTTACCTATTATCTGCAAATCTGCATGCCACGTTAACAAGCATTATCCCAGTTGCCTTCTTATATAATGTCTGAGTGATTAAGTCATACAAAAAATACGACAAAGTTATCCGGGAGGAAACGATGGAACAGAGTCTCGAACTTGAGTCTTTTAGGAGGAAGCAAGTGCTCTACCGGCTTAGCTACTGAGATATCCTAATATATCGTTCTACCTACTGTGAAATTGGGAAATATATACCTGTAGCCGATATCACACTGTTGAAAACTCTGCTTAATTTTAAGAACACGCCTATTTCAATTATAAATAGAAAAAATTTGGCTTGCAGCTAACTTAACTATAGGACCATGTTTCGTAAAAGCTGAGCCAAAAAAAAAATTGGAAAATGAATTTGATCATTTTAAGGTACACAAGTCTTATTTTCGTTGTTTAAACGAATTTCTGACCTATATTTGTTGGTAAAGCTAAGAAATAGGAATAATAAGACTAAATTAAACCAACCTACTTCAGGATTTCGGAAAACATACTTACTTTTCAAAATTTGAGTATGAAAATCTAAAGTCAATAGTCGCGTGGTCACCGAAGCTTCGTCTGCTTTCTCAAACTTATCCCATCGTGCTTCCACATGACTTGTTTATATTAAGATTTTCTATTTAACATATTTATTGTTACTTTGTTTAGAAATAGTTTTTATAAACAAAAAACAGAAAAATATTTATTCATATTAATCATCCACAGACCATAGGTAACTATCAAAAAATTAAAATGTATATAAATGTTTTTTCCTCAAGATTATAGATGTACACACGCATTTTAAAAACATTTTTATTCTCAAAAGATCTGCTCTGACCAGGAGTTGAACCTCTGTCCCTCAGCTTTCGAATCAGACTCCGCAACCACTAAACCAAGGTGGGCTATGTAAGCATTAAGGAGGCTCCCTCGTGACGGATTCCTAACCAAGACTAGATGAATTTTATAGTTTAAAATGTACTAAATCCACTGATATAATTATTTATATTGCTTATCCTGCCAAACTTCGAGTTATTATTAATTTAATGTAGCGCTTTCTAACACGTATGCTTATGGTGGAGCTCGCACACGTGATGAAAACAACTTAAAAACTCGAATAAATCAACAGTTCCCGTAATAAGATTGCACACATTTTGTACAAAAAAACCTCCTCTTTTAAATGATGCCCAGCAAAGTTAGTGTTACCCTGAAAAATTTCGAGATATTCTGTTGAAAATTGATCAAGTCATTTTATTTCCACAGGTTAGTCTGTGTTCCCTTGAGCCAGTGATGCCAACTAGACCTGAGTTTGGGAGAAAATTTGAGACCTACGACGTGGGTTGGCATTTCTGCCCGAGGGAGCCTCCTTAACATCGATAAAGAACAAGTGGGAACGTGCACTGTTTATGATACACACAATCAAGTTAAAAATCATAGGATTTTTTGTAGACCACGGTATTGACCAAAGTTAACTAGTCGCTTCAAATTATTTGTTCGTATCAATTTTTAACCCTTATAAATCAAACAATATGTTTCTCATGATAATTATATCAGTATAACCTCAAATTTGAAACTCAATAGGCGTATATACCTATAGGTGATCTACCATCTTACTTAATCGACGAAAACGTCGTATAAAATTACTTTTGAACATAGTAATTTTTACTACATTTAATAGCAATGCAGTGGAACGAGAAATTTCTTAGACACTTTTCTCAGTGCATGTTCAAGTTATCAAGTTACTGATCTAATAGTCATTTAGATCCAAGAAAAGCTATATTTGTATAAGCAAGTCTATTAACCTATTGAATACCAATATAATTAGGCAAAAACTATTATTTAAATAATTAGGCAAAACAAAGGAGTAATTAAGGGTATTATTGCGGGTTTATTTAGTAGTTGGCTTTAAACATTTATCTGAAAAATTCGGTTAATGATTAATATTCAAACTTCAGTTACTACTACTGGTATTAGTGGACAAGGTATTCTGGTCAATTTTAATGCTAAATCAACAAGGTATCCGCAATAATACTATCATAGTAAAAAAGTTTATGTGTGCACCACTTATTGTGGATGTGATACTTTTTTATGCAAGTACAAAGTTTTGAACGCTGTTTTGACACTGAAGTTCATTGAAGATTAGATACTCCATAACTTAATTAAATGATTTCAAGAACTTACTCACCAGACCAATTAAAATATTGCATTATTTGAGAGTTCCGCAATAACTGAAGCAACAGCAACAATACCCTCATTTACCTGTAGTGGCCTTCATTGTAGTGCCAACCTTTGCCCGAATGAATTACTTGCTTTAGGGTAGGATAAATCGACTTTTTAGAGTTTCTTTTTATTTTGAACATCAAATTATAAATTAATAGACAGTGGCTCAATATTTTTTATTTATTCCAAAAGTTAGTGTATTCTCTATTAAAAAAAAAAAATTATAAAAATTCTCAATTTTCTGGGGCATTAACGTTAACATACCCATATTAGACCACCGTTGACTAAGTTGAAAGAACTGAAAAACAGTAGACAGGTTTTTGAAGTTATAATTCTATAGGCGCATTATAAGCAAGGGTTAATCAACGATTTCAGATTTTGACCTTGAGAAAAAGTGACGAAAGTGAATTTTGCTTGATTCTCCCCCCTTCGCCTCGACCCTTGTGACGTACTTCCTGTTCCCTCTACACCACATGAAGCCACATCACATCACCACGCCACATATTTTTAACTTTAAGAAATTTTTAGTTTTTTCTTTGATCCAATTCTAAATAAGAAACCGTAATATATTGTTTCTAACCGTTAACTTATGAAATATAAATTAAAATAATATCCAATCAACGTAGGTATACTCATTCCCACGATAATTGCACCACCTTCGTACACAATATTGTTTCATAGAAGGTATTTTTATACTCATAATTATATTGTTTGCCATATAATTTTATAGAACTTCATACTTGGATACCCAAGCACCCCCTGTCTACTGGTTTTTTAAGATTTGAAAAGTTAAGAATACTCTAAAAATCAACTGTCTTTAGTATATTATTGTGAATATGTTTAATTGTAAACTAATTATTTTGTAAAGTAAATTTAAGCATTTTTCTTTAAAAATATATAGCTTGTTTGACAAATATTTCAACGATAGTTGTTACGTTTCATATTACATAAAAAAGTTACATCGTTTTAAGGAATTGTAATAAAAATGGTATTCTCATCATCATTATCCTTATTATTATCATTACTATGACATTGTGGTTGTATATTTATTTTTTATTATCGTCTTATTTTCACAGACAAGAGATACGAATATTAAACATTTCTTCAATTCTTTAACCTTTACTATCGAAAGTTTTAATCAGAGGTGTATATTAAAAAAAACTTCTCAAAAGCAATTAATTTTAAACGTTATTTTTAAAAGCTGTGGCATGATAAGCTTGTGCCATGCCTGTGGATGCCGAACGGATCTCTTGTATGTGTTCTGTTAAGGTTTAGCATTAACTTTTATTCGTTTTGTATTTGCAGGTCACGGAGGAGTTAATCAACTTGGAGGTGTTTTCGTGAATGGGCGGCCTTTACCAGACGTTGTCAGGCAAAGAATAGTTGAGCTAGCTCACAGTGGTGTCCGACCCTGTGACATCTCTAGGCAGCTCAGGGTCTCCCATGGCTGTGTATCAAAAATTCTGTCCAGGTAAGTTGACCATTTTCTGTCTGATATTTATTTCTCTAATATTATTTTACTTTTACGCTGGTTTTTCATCGAACGTGGTTTTGCGGCCCATAATTTATCTATCAGCCTGCCAATTTTACTATGCGATACTGCAATAACTAAAACCAAGAAAATTAATCAATGAGATACAAGTTCGTTATTGACCTGACTGATTGTAATAGAAAAACAAGAAGAATCTAAGTATGGTACTCATTGAAGTAATATCTTAATTAATTTTAGTAATTACCTTTTTAAAAAAAAATTTTATGAATTATGTAACATTTCAAACGTTCATGATTTTAAATGACTACTGTCTCATACCTTATTACTTAGACAATTGTGATGATAAATTTCGAATGCAAAGGTAATATTTTTAAGGTTTTAAAACCTTACTGGTAACCAATTATGAATAAATAAGCTTAATTTCTCATACGTCCATTATAAAAAAAATACTTTTTCGCATTGAGTATTATTTTATATTTGACTGAGATGTACAGATTTTCTAATCCTTTAGTAGACTTTATTTTCTTGCATCTATTCGAAGTACAGCTCAGGGTTTTTTTTAAACAAAAGTACATGTTGACACTTAAAAAAATACTTTAAACAATTTTAACAAAAATTCTGAATCTCTTAGTGCTTTTGTTATTTTTTATTAGAATATTCTTTATACAATCCTTATGATTTTTTATTTTTTTGTTTGATATACTTACTTAAGTATTGTGAATTACGTAAAGAAACTTTTGCCACTTCTTTCGTATCCGATTCATTAAATTTTTTCAAGGAATGTGTGACCTCGAAATAATCAATGGCTAACATGTGTACTACCACATGGGTTCCTTACAATACTTGACAGATACAAAGTTGTGTGTGAGTTTTATAAATAAATAGATGTTTCATGTTCCCTAAAACAAAAGCTGCAATCAGATGATTTTAGTAATAAAAGACGTCTGAATTGTATAATCTGACATTTCATGTGCTAAAAGTTTTTCTAATAACTGAATGTCCAATTAAAAAATGAATTTTGTGCAAAGGAAAATCTATAGTTTGCAAAAAATCTTGGGACACTCTAAAAAATTAGACCTATTAGTTTAGGGATCATCTATTTTTATGCAATAAAGTAGTAATTGCCCTATTCAAATATCGAAAGACATTTGAAAAAATATTTTACAGCTTATAATTTTCTTACAAGGTATTATTAAACGTGTTTTACTGGAAATTTAATTCAACTAAAATCAGCTGTGACTTTGAAAAATTACTTTTTTTAAAGAAATTTGAGACTATTAACACGAGTCCGAACAATAAACCCATAAAAACTCCTTGTATGTGAAATTATCTATTTTTTATGTCGCAATACTGCCACATGTAAGTTTATCGGTTTACTCGACTGTTACTGACGAACGTGAACTCGAAATTTTCAGACTTTATAAAAGTCCCGTAAGAACATCACTAATATTCTGTTAAGAATTTTTTCGGATGTTTTTATCATACGGCATACTACTAGTTGTACCCAACCAGTACGTTTATCACATCCAAAAATGTCCAAATGCGCCCGAGGATAAAGAGCAAGTGCCGTATAATAAGTATAAACTATGCTTGGCATTTAATATTTATGAGTTATAATATATACTGCCATAGTATAGACGTTAATGTATTATGTTATAGTGTATAAATTAATATTATGTCGTGTAATAAATATAAGTTAAATTTTATTGTATCCCATAAATTATTAAATGCTTATTCATAATGCCGTATACAAATTAAGTCAAAGTACAAATAACAAAAACTAATTTATGCATAGAATTAGCATTTATAGCAAGAAGAAGCAGTTTCAACAAATTCGTACTAAGAAAGAACATTGTTGGAGTCTGTACCGTAATTAAAATTTCTTCTTTACAGACTTCCATTTCTTCAATCACAATATATATATTTGGGCTGACACTGGAAGCAGAGAAGCAATGGCATATAATTAACTTTAAGAAATTTAAACGTATTATATACCAAAAAATCTTGTCTCTTCTCACTAAACATGTAGGGGTAAGTGAGGGTTTTGTTGCGATTGCTCCAGTTATTGTGGAACTCTCGAATACTGCGTATATTTTAATAGAACTTATGAGTTATGGTGCGTAAACAATTGGAATAATTTAATTAAGTAATAGAGTATCTTATTATTTAGACTTCAGTTCCAATATAGCGTTCAAAGTTTTATATTTGTATAACAAAGTATCATATCAGTAATAATTGGTGCATACATAACCTCTTGCATTATGATGGTATTATTGCGGATACCCCGTTGATTTAGCAGTTGAAATTGACCACAATTATTGTGCACAATAATACGTACGGGCCCGAAATAATACCAGCATTGGTAACTGAACTTTCAAACTTCTTTTTAAATCCATGTTCATGAGTTTATACATTTACCAGCGACCCCCCTCCCTCCCCGGCTTTGCCCAAGACTTACTGAATGGAACACCGCAGCGTGTTGACACGTAGTGTAAACAATTTTCAGTTAAAAATTTTACATTCCTTCCTGACACTTCTCAGAACAATAAAACTTTTTTTTTTTAAACCGTTATGTTTGGAATCCATGCAGTTTATTTGGTCAAACAGTAAGCTGTAAGTAATAAAAAAAATAATAATCATACTGAAAATACTGTGCATTCCTTACGCCATCAAATGTTGGTTGGTCCTAAAAGGTCATTGATTTGCACTTTCTCACGTTATAATAAATGAAAGGGCTATTCGTTAAAACTGTGAAGATTTAAAACTGACAAAAATATATTAAAAACTTGTTTTTTTCAGTCTTACAACTTTATTACCAGAGCAACAAAAGCCTGGATCGCAATATTTCTATTTTTTATCGCAGAATAAATATAAATACATATTATTTTACCTATTTAAAAATCTGGAAGATTTAAGTAATTACTGTAAGGGTTACAATGGAAAGCTGATTTCTCACGTAATGGATTCTTTGTTTGTCAATTTTAACGCTGCTACTTAAATCTCAATGAATGCTCTGCATCAGTTTCTTGACGCCTAAAGTTGATGAAAAACTGTACTTAAACTATCTAAGAAGTTTCAAGAATCAGTATGAAAAATTTCAGCAAGATTGGTTGTGTGGTTTTCGCAGTTAGCGATCACAACAGTTTTTGTGACTTAGCTTAATATATTAGTAAGATTACTACGATTGAAGATATTTTGCACACCTCATATGCTCAGGAACGATCAAAATTTCATAAGATATTAAATTCTATGAGATATGTTATCACTTAACATGACGACGTGCAGATGAGCGTGTCACACGTCCTTGAAGCTTAGTACGAGTTTTATCTTGTTAAAGTAACTCTATAAAATTGATTGCGGAAGCGGCTCAGTCAATGTAAAGTAATATTAAAAACATTACTTCTCACTCTAAAAGTAGCATGAAAACATTTCTATTAACATTATCGTTAATTTCAATAGCCTATGATAAATTAGAACTTGTAATTAAACGTCTGTCAAAATTTGTTATCGATTGGTTTAGTAGTTTTTGAGGTTTTTGCGAACATACAAACGAATGCTGTCTTTTTATATAATAAGAAGATGAAAGTGAAATTAAGTAGTTTTAGAGCTCAATACTAATAAATAAGTAAAAAATTACAGTGATTTGACAAAAAAATTCCTTCAATAAATATTTAAAGTTAACCACTCAAAAAGAACCGCAATAATACCCTGGGCGCAATCGGACATAAAATTTAGTTATTATCAGGCACAACTTGTACATTTTTTTGTCTTATGTGTGCAATCGGTATTCTTCGCATCAATTGTATTATTTTTATTGACTATTTAAAATATTACAAGGGGTACGGGGGTTATATATCTATTATTTACTTCAAAATAAAGTCACGTGTAAATGAGGTGATTTCACGGATAATGGCCAATTACGCATATAACGTTGAAATTATAAAATTTCTTGCTTTTAATAACAATGGATAAACAATTTTCCATTGCATATTTAAATTGTAACAACTATGTTAAAACAGTATACATCTAATTTTATTAATTTTGGAAATTATAGTGAGGATATGTATTTTTTTAAAACTATCTAGAGTAAGTTTCACAAAATCCTTCGATTGACAATCCCAAAAAATTTTTATGAACAGCAGTTTTATTTTAATATCTTATTTTGATAGCAAATTATTATTTTCTTTGTTTGAGGTATCTGATCATTTATGTCGTTTTGATACGTTATCATATTTTTTGCATGTCATTACAAAGGTTTTTAATACTCATGCTTGTGAGAATACAATTTAAGTTACTACATGAAAATCCTCAAAACGTAAAATTATTGATTGTAAAGAGACTTTGAGGAGGTTCCCTTGTGCAGAGATACCCACCCACGTCACGTCGCCAGTCACAAATTTTCTAGCAAACTCCGGTATAGCGAGCATCACTGTTGCAAGAGAAAATAGCTAACCTGTGGAAATGAAATGACTCGATTAATTTTCAAAAAAATATCTCGAAATTTTCCTGGACAATACTTCTTTTGATGTCGTGTGTGTGCAAGCTCTGCCAAATTTAAATTTTGCAGGGTAAGTGATGTTAATAATTATACCCATCGATTAAGCACATTTTTAACTATTAAATCAATCCGGTCTAAGTTCGAGAACTGTCACGAAGAAGCCTCCTTAAGATATTATTTAACTGTTATTTTTTTAGTGCTGAACGAATATGATGGTTAATTATTCCTAAATGGAAAGTGGTACAAAAGTCTTCGTATCTTCCTACTATTTCGTCAAGTTATGAAGCGAAATAAAACTTCTTTTTTTTTTTAATGGCCAGTACTGTACTAATACTTTCTCAATTTTTACGAGACAACTTTGTTAAATTACGAGATTTTTATGGAATCTTTAAAGTATTATACTATACTCACACTGTAAACAGCGATAAAGTTATCGATTTTTATTTATTTAAAACAGTAATGATCCAAAATTACAAGCGAA